TCATCGCCCTGATGACGGAGGCAGTATGACCTCTGAAACGTTGGTTAATATCGACCAGACTACACAGCGCAACAACCCAGAAGACGGAAATCTTCATACTCACCGCTGTGAGAACCTCAAGTCTTACCTATTAATATCATATTTACTGCTCAGTTATGTAAGAAAAGCGTGAGACCTGTGATGGACTGGTTGATAAAGAAGGTTTCTGGTATTCACAAAGGACAAAGAATCTGTGATAAACGTAGGAAAAGTTGCAAATTTGCCCAGATGTTTTGGAAATGAAGCAGTTGTGTCTTCAAGGTCAGAATAGAACTAAAAAAAGGAATACTTTGACAGACCAACTCTATAACAGATTCTGAGATTATTAGAAGGGTTACCACTTTCCACTAAAATGTTGTCACAAGTGGAGTATATGAAGGATAAATTCACGATAGTCAACAGAGCCGCAAATAGAAAAATAGTAAATTTATCAGACTTCAGTGATAGCATCAGTTCACTTGAAGGTGAAATGAGGAAAAATTTGATACAACAGGACAAAGGAGAGGAGAGCGTAAATTCAGATGTTTCTTCAAAGAGCTGGTGAAGTACGAAAATCCAACAAAGGTTTTGCTGTGTTTCAATAAGAAACATCACGTTTGGTTGATAAGTTTGTATCTTCATCAGTGGAAGACGACTGTACCAAAAATGTGTCATCATCAAATTTTAAGCTGCCTTCTCTTAATGACACGAGTTCTACCAGTAATTTTGTGTCCACATCTGGCTTCTTTCTTCTTTTCCGAGAGATCTTACACGTGAAAGGACCTGCTGTTTCTCCTCAATAAGATATCTTGAGAGTTTAGATAATATCCTTTTGGCTCCTTTCTTCAAAAGGATCTGGATTAGTAGCTTTGCCATTATTAGGGTTTGTGGTCACGTGTGCAGCATGAGCACTCAATCTGTACTCATGAGATGCACATCCAGGAATAACAAAAGTGTAAAGAATGCCCATTTTGGCCCCGACTTCTACTCTTCAATTTTTCTCAGTTCTTATTCCTAGCATATCAAATCTAAAAGTTCTTGACGATGGTGATGAGTCATTTGAATAAAAATTTTCTTGGATATTATCCATCGTCTAGTAAATAAAATATAAAACGTAAAGCGACGTTTCGGAGATGGGGCTCTATCTCCGTCTTCTTTCTCTGGGACTTTCACTTTTTTACTTTGTCCGGAGATAGGGATTAGCTCTATCTAGTGGGCCCAACTGAGTAGGAACCTGAAGACGGAGATAGAGTCCCATCTCCGAAACGTCGCTTTACGTTTTATATTTTATTTACTAGACGATGGATAATATCCAAGAAAATTTTTATTCAAATGTCTTATTCCTAGCAATTCCTTAGGTTCATTCATTTTTCTTGACATTTTCTAAATATGAAATTAAAAGTACTCCACTTCTATGGATAAAGCTTAATGTGCATCGTGTGAACGTTTTCTTTATATTTGTTGATTGCATCACTCAAATAACAGAATCATGATTATGGATTTTCAGAAGTAACTGATATTATGTAAAAAAAGAACCGCATAAGTTTTAAGGAACAGAATCCTAAAATGTGAGGCTTTTCAAAGTTTGCACAGTTTCAGCCAAGAATCTGTGTTCCCTGTAATGTGTAGATATGGGTAACATTTGTTGTTCGTGGTATCCCTTGGTTAATAGGCTAGATGGATTCTGGAGACATACTGATGAAGGGGAAAATCCCTTCCTCTGCTAGAAATATGACCCTAGTGATCTACCTCATAACCACTTGCTTCACTGACATAAAAATGGAACAACTACGTGGGTAATTTTCTGTGTTATTCATGTGGCTTCCAAATGTTACATTGGCCTTCTCTCGTGTTACTGTTCCAGGCTGCATTTGACCATGCTGTGAAGAATGACCTGAAGGTGAAAGTGACCTGCACGTATTTACAGAAGTACCTTGAAAACCATCCTTTGTCAGAATATACGAGCCGAATTGTTGACTAGACCGATCACCTCATTTCAAAGTCTTGTTAGTAATATATTTAGATTATTATGCATTTGATCTTCATTTTATGATAAAATCACAGTGTTTTGGAAATGTGTTATATTTCAGTCTTCTCAGGACTGGGAAAGAAGGAGTCCCTATTACATTGGACCTACAGTCGAGACTTCGATTCTTGAGGGATGCAGTAAAATAGAGATTTCTTCACACCCAGTCATGTGAAGATGAAAATAGAACCCATTTCTGACATGTTTTGGTTTTAATACAAGAAAGATGATGGACAGTGTCCAAATGAATAATAGTGATACACATTGTGTCAGAAAACTCTAAAATTTGATTATGGATTGTTGCATTTAATTTCGATTAGAAAGCTGATATTCAAATATAAGATATGATATTTAAGAATTTTTAAATTTCTTTATATAATTGCTATTCTAAATTTCTGTTGTGAAGCGAACGTTTCCTTTTATTTGTGCGAGATAGAAAGTACATTTAAAATGTTGGTGCAGAGAATCATACAAAAGTTATATTATGTTTTCCAATATTTAATATAATAATTTGAAATGTTTCTGTATTTTATTAAAGTTTGACATCTCTTTTACATGAAAACTATATAAGCCTTTCTACTTTTAGAATCTATTGCAAATTAATAATTCACACTGTTGAAGTAATTTAACATATTCTGTGTCTCTTACTTAGAAATTTAAATTAAGGTCTCATACTACTATACTATGTTCAGAATTTTCTACTTACTTTGAACCCTTGTTAATATGGAATTTAATCCGAAATACAAGAAAGTGAACATTTTTTGATTCAGTATGTTACAAACAAGAATGTTTTACTCACATGATGACCTGTGTCGAAGAAGACTATCGCTGTCATTAACACTGCTGATCTGGCAGCTATACTTTTATCATGTGGCTCGTCTCGCCACGACACTGGGTGGTAGTAATAACAGTCGGAGCCCAGCAGAGCACTCTCTTGTGTATACACTTTCCCTTGCCTTGCGGTAATTTAAGCCTAGGAATAGAAATTTCCTATGCAATTTCAAAGGTAACTGCCCCCACTAGCTGCAATCTGCCATAATCTGTGGCAATATTAATGTACCCTTAAGCATTATAATCAAGTGTGATACAGCACTGCTCATTTGTTTCCAATGTTTATACAGAGAACTTACAGGAATATTCAGTTATAAACACACCGTACACTGTTAACTTCCGTGTTAAATAAAACATACTCAGGTAAGGAACGATCAATAGTGCCGTGGGTGTGGAGTTGCATCGTTACTTGCAGCCAGGTGTGTAAGTGATGACATTCCAGATCCAGTCAATTCCAGTAAATCAACCTTTTACTGGGAAGGGTGTTCATTTGAAAGTGGAAACATTACTGAAAATAAGCTCCATCCAGTAACATAAAATTCTAGCAGAACAGTTGTGGAACCACCCCTTTATGCTGTTTGACAGAGCTAGTGGACTTTTCTGTAATGAAAATGTTTTCTTCACATTTTTTTTTGTATGCAAACACTTCAGTTTGAATGCAATCACCAGGCTGTTCACAGAGTCATTCTGTCTGAAAGTGTCCCTCAGAAACTGCAGTCGTCATGTAGGGTTTCCCTGTCGTAGAGGAATCTGGCATTGTGCACTAGCATGAAATAAAGATTAGTGTGCATATGGGTTTTTCAGTAAACCTTTTGTCCCAGTGAACCATCAGGTTTACAGTGGATGTTCTCATGGACACTGTTCAGGTGGCCAAGGCTGGACCATGTGGCCATATGACGAATATGTCACCCTTGTAGCAAAACCAGCAGTATCAGTATGTTGAAAATGTTTTATAAATACATTAACTACATGCAAGTATACAAAATTTGCTTTTGAGATGCACAGCTCTGAATAACAAATTAAATTAATACATTGCTTCACAGAGTTCTCAAATTTTTGCTTTAAATTATCTGTTGAAACATCTGTTTTACAGGTTTAATGCATTGATTGGAAGTACGTATAGTAATTTTAAAATTAAGAGGATATACCTAACCTAACCTGAAAACATGGAAGACAAAGACCTGAAGGCCAAGATCCACTACTATTGCCGAGAAAAGCTGTATCATGCGATGCAATCAGCTGCCCTTGACGGGCTTCGCAAGTTTCCAGGTGATGTCACATTTCATCTGTACAACGGCTTATCATTGGTACTGGGACATCGTATACAAGAAGGGATACGGGAACTACAACCACTTCAGAGTGACCGTGATGTCATGCTGGGTGCTATTCTGGCACTCATGTTTGCACATCGACGTTGCAGTGTCGTAGACAGGGAAGCTCTTGCTCAGCTGGACAAACGACTGAAGGAAGAACGCAAGCATGCTGGTGAGATGGGACTGTATCATGGAGCAGTTGTTCTTTTCTATACGGGCAAACCAGAGAAAGCTCGAGATTATGCCGACAGGCTTCTCAAATCTAATTCCATTTCTCCAGATGGACTTGTAATTAAGGGTTGGATTGAAATGTATGTTGGAAAGGAAGGCATATTCAAAGATATTCCTCACTACTTTGAGTCAGCCTTGGAACATAGTCCTGGCAAGCGAAATATTGATGCTGTATTTGGTAAAGCTCATTTTCTGGAGCTTCAAAATGATTATGAAGGCGCAATTGGTCTTCTTAACCAGCTGGTAGTGAGGTTTCCTACATTCACTCCACCTTTGGTAGAAAAAATGAAAAACCAGCTTGCACTGCTGGACTGGGATCAAGCTACTGAGACGGCAAACAGAATTTTAGCAGCAGATCAACACTGCTTGGAAGCTATGAAAATAAAGGCTTTGGTACTTATTTGTCGAGAAGGAAGTCATGAAGAAGCAAGTCTGAGCTTGAGATATTTCTACAATGAGATGGAGAAATCTGAATCTAAGAATGCTGAGTTATTTGTGGAGAATGCTCAGCTGTTTTCACGGGCGTGTGGACGAAATGAGGTTATACTTGCTGAAACGTACCGCTTTGCTGAGAGAGCTGCACAACTCGATCCAACTAGCGCCGACTTTATGACAGAGCTAGGTTATCAGTGTTTGTTGCAGGGCAAGATCAGAGAGGCCACGAGACTGTATCGTAGTGCCACCAAAGTGGATGACTCGTCTGTTTTAGCTTTATCAGGGTTAACATTGTGTCAGCTGAGTGAGAGTGGGGCTAATGATCAGGTTCGCCAACAGGTGGAATTCCTTCAAGAAGTAGAGGGATCTCAGCCAACTCCCAGTCTCTTACTCATGTCAGCCAAGCTTGTTTCTGGTAACGCTGAAAAAGCTGTTGGGTTTCTGAATGAGGCTGTCGAAATACATTTCAGGAATCTGCGTACCTTACCATATGGTTCTAAATACTTGCGGAGTCTTGATCCAGATTTCTTGCTTCAGGTCGTGAAAGAATTCCTTTTATATGCTCCCGTCTCTTCTTCGACTGCAGGTATCGCTACCGGTGCTACTCCAACACTGCAACAAGGTCTGTCATCTTTACCAGTGCCTATGAAGCAGAGCTTGACAATTCTTGAAGCAGTGAGCAAGGCTTGTCCAGGTCTTCTGGAAGCATTATACCAATTTGCATATGTTCAGTTCATTAGTGGAGACACTAAAGGGGCATCTCTGACTTTACAACATATCTTGAATGATGTAGATGCCACATGTTCTGATGCACATCTGCTTATGGCACAAATTCTTGTTCAACAAGGCCATTACCAGCGAGCTGCACAGAGTCTAGAAGTGGGACTCAGTTACAATTTCAAAGTCCGTGAGCATCCATTATACCACCTCATCACAGCACTCGTACAGAAGCAGCAAGGAAATATCAAGGAGTGCATAGAGACTCTCCAGACGGCAATGACTCTCACTGGATTGAAGGCAGGAAGTGGAGGCCAGGTTGAGGCTACAGGTGGGTCACCTGGACTGTCCTTGCCAGATAAAGCATCTCTATACCTCGAACTAGTAGAGGCACATAAATCTGCAGATCAGATGCATGAGGCTGCCAAAGTCATGCAAGATGCTACTGATGAATTTCAAGGCACTACTGAAGAAGGTCGTGTAACTGTTGCTAATGCCATTCTAGCATTGCACAAGGGAGATATAAAATTGGCCTTAGAAATTCTACAAAGTATAGGGCCAAGCCACACATATTATCAACAGGCATGCTGTAAGAGGGCTGAAATACATCTCAGTCACCGCAAGGATCGTCGTGCATTCGCCGAATGCTTCCGTGAATTGGTGGAAAATTCTCCCGGTCCTCAGAGTTTTGTGATGCTTGGTGATGCATATATGTCGATTCAGGAACCAGACAGGGCTATTGAAGCTTATGAACAGGCTCTGAAACGAAACCCTCGCGATGCAACCCTTGCTTGCAAGATGGGGAGGGCTCTTGTAAAAACCCATCAGTATGGCAAAGCTATTAATTATTACAAAGAAGCTGTGAAAGGGGAAGATGCTGGACAATTGAAACTTGACATGGCAGAACTGTACATGAAGTTAGGGCAGTATGATAAGGCTGAGAAAACCCTTTCCCAGGAATTAGAACATAAAACTGACGGTAGTGACATGTCATCGCTGGAAGCTCGGACCAAACTTCTGTTACTGTTGTCCAAGGTGCGAGAGAAAGCTGGCAATATTCAGGCATCTCTTAAAACACTCAGAGATGCTCGTGACAACCAGAGCCGTGTGCTGAAAAGAATGATGGTTGAGCAGTCTGGTGGTGGTTCTGAGGCACGTCAGGTGGCAGCAAACATCTGTCAGCAAATGGCAGAATATGCCAGTATGTTGAGAGACCATGATGCAGCTATTCGTTTCTACAAAGAGGCTCTTACTTATTCTCCAGAAGATACAAAGTCTTTGGTTGACTTGGCAAGATTATATATGCAGGTAAATGATTTGGAACAGTGCCAGATGAGCTGCATGACTTTGCTGAAGGCAGACGCCGACAATGAGGCAGCTACTGTGATGATGGCTGATCTGGCTTTTAGGAAAGTGGACTTTGAGACAGCTGCTTTCCACTTCCAGCAGCTGCTTCAAAGACGTCCCGATTACTGGACTGCTCTTGCGAGGCTGGTTGAGGTGATGCGACGAACTGGGAATTTGGAAGATGTGCCATTCTATCTGAACAAAGCGGAGGCTGCTTGCCAGCGTCCCAGTCAGGAGGCTGGTCTTGCTTATTGCCAAGGCCTTTATGGATGGTATTCTGGGAATGCTAATTCTGCTCTTCGTCAGTTTAACAGAGCACGCCTTGACCCTGAATGGGGTCAACAGGCAATTTATAATATGATTGAGATTTGCCTTAATCCTGATGATGAAACTTTAGGAACCGAGTCGGCAGAAGGAGAGGATGCGGAGGTTCGAGGTTCCCACGAGATGGCTCTGAGGATGGCTGAAAGGCTTCTGAAGGAGCTTCAGCCTCGTCCAGGTGGTATTGGTGGAGATGAAGTTTTGAATCATCGTCTGCTTGGTAACTTTTTGCTTTTGGCGACCCGCAAGAAACCAAATATAGAACAGGCGCTGCAGGATTTTGCATCTCTAGCTACTCAAGATGCTTACAGGGATCATGTTGGTACTGCTCTTGGCTTAGCAACATCTTACATGTTGCTCAAACAAATACCACGAGCCAGGAATCAGTTGAAGAGAGTTGCAAAGAATGTGTGGAACTTTGAAGATGCAGAATATTTAGAGCGCTGCTGGTTGCTGTTAGCAGACATATACATTCAGAACAGCAAATATGACATGGCAAGTGAACTGCTTCGCCGAGTATTACAGCATAACAAGGCATGCACTAAAGCATATGAATATGCAGGTTACATAGCTGAGAAAGATCAAGCATATAGGGATGCTGCAAACCAGTATGAATGTGCTTGGAAATATGGAGGTCAGGCAAATCCTACTATTGGATATAAGCTCGCATTTAATTACATGAAGGGTAAGAGATATGCTGACGCTATTGATATATGTCAGCACGTACTCAGAGTACAACCAGATTATCCTCGTATACGTAAAGAAATTTTGGAAAAATCAAGGAACAATTTGAGAGCATAAGAAAATGCTTAAATTACTCTTTCAACTGCATGAAATTTAAATTCAGAATAGTATTAAAAATATATTAAAATATGTTCCATATGTAAATCGAGTACTCGATACGGAACGAAAAATGATATTTTAATCTTTTAATTATCTTATATTGTGATTGACGGCCAATTTTAATATATTTTTAATACTATTTAAATAAATCACAATATGACGCACCTACAATATCTCTTAAATTCAGAATATTTCACACCCATTTTATTAATTGTTTTTCTTGGAAGCACAAAACAGACCAACTGTGTACGAAGAGAGATTTTAGAAAGAAAAAAAAAACAATTTCGTAATGTAAATATGTTACAAACGTGATGTAAGCAGAACACATTTCACAGCTTACAAACACAGACTGCAAGAAATTGGGACATGCTTATTAGCAATTTGACTACTCATGCTGCAGATACTTGCTTATTTAGTGGTCTGTGAAGTTTTTCATGGTTCGTGTTATCTGTCTATAAAATGAGCGATGAAGATCTTATACTTGTGAGTGCTGGATATATTGCCGTGAATGAAGGAAGAAAAAATAAGAAGGAACTATTTTTGGTGGATGACAGCTGTTTCAGAATATAAAAATAAAAACATTAAACTGATCTCTTAACATTTATCATACAAGAATAGGGGATTAAAGCCCTGTACTTCAGAGCTGCTGGCTATATTTTAACTTTATTGATATGGCGTAATGACTTACGTTGTTGTGGAGGTTACCCTTTCTCTTTCCTTAACCAACTCCAATTTACTTTCTCCTCCCGTCTTGTCTGTTTTTTGAGTCCTTGGTCTTGATTCGTAGTCATGTCTTACCTGCAGTAAGCCTTCGTTTCACCTCTAAATTTTGGTTGGTGTTTTTGGATTTAAATTTTCTGTTGTGAGGTGAGCCAACATATTCAGTGCCTGGGGGTTACAGAGATGTTTTAGGTTGGTTTCGTTGTTCATTGGTTTCATTATCATTATTTCTTCTTCAGGTTGTTATATTTTCATACACTAATACACATTCCCATTCTATTGTGATACTGTTCCTTCTGATTACTGTCGTATATAGCGCACTATTCACCTACGTTAATACGTGTCGCCATTCTGTATGGTATTATTCCATTAGATTACCCCATGATATTTAACATTACCTGTGCGAAATAGTGGATAAATGGGTGGTGGAAGACTTCTGAGACTGATAACAACAGTTATTTATTTTTTTTATTTGTAGTGTTCTGTCTGACGACAGGTCCATATATTATGAACAGGATCCTTCCAACCTCTTCAGGTTGTCAGGGACCTGCTCATACATATATACATTCTTGGCAGAGATGATCAGAAGTGGTTTGCCATTGCCTTCTTCTGTGTGTGAGTGGAGTAATTGTTGGGATGCCACGGAGAAACCGGGGAAGCCCCCGGAGGAAAACTCCGTGATGCCTAGACCACGGCCTTGCCCAACACAAGTAATAAATTTGAGCACCACTGGGAATTGAACCCGGGACCCCAGGCTTACAAGGCTAGTGTTCTGACCGCTAGACCACCGTGGCGACGGTTGTGTTGTAGACTCATATATTTATTGTTAGTAAATATCTGTTCCATTTCACTCTTGTCCTACTGTACTGGTTTCTCACAGATAGTCAATACCATTTAGAGCCTACACACACACACACACACACATTAGTGGTGCAAATAACCTGAGGAAAAATGAGGCCAAATGCTACGTGTACGCGCACAGAAGAAATGGGTAAAATCCTGATCAGTATCTTTGAAACTAATTACGTACATGATACCGTAATGGCGTATGTTCTTGGGTTTAAGGCTAATAATTTATTATGATATTCAAGGATATGTATCAAATGATCAGGCCTATGAAAATTTTTGGGTAATAAAGATTGATAAATGTAAGCATTCGTCAAATCACCCCCCCTCCCCCCCACACACACATTAGCACTTAAGGCATTCTGCGAGTGTTTCTACATTACAAAGAATCTGATGCATATCGAGGTTTCTCTTTCACCATGTCATAACTTTTGTTCTACCTAATAAACAGAGATTAACACTGGGCTCATTAAATAAGCTTTGAAAGATGTATCATACCACTGTACTAGCAAAGCGAGGTTGAAAGTCCTTACGAAGACAATCTTTGATTCTGAATTTATGAAAAACTACAATTTAAAAATGTTGAAAAATTACACAATGGGCGATGATGGAGGCAGCAAGGACCTCCAAAGTGTTGGTATACTTCTATCAGATTACAAGGTTTGATTTGATTTTAAAATGTCTCATCATAAACTGTATTATGTGTTACTGATGATGTATAGCTATTGTATCACGAGAGAGAGTCTGAAATTACCATGTAATTAGCATCACTCGAAGAGTTGTACATGCATTCTTGAAATAAATCATAGAAAGCTGAATTGTGGCTTTTGGCATTATTCTAGCGAAATAACCGAACGTCATCTTGCATAATAAAACAATATTTTTCAGAACAGTCGCACAACAGCATACTCGTCTGTGTTAAAAGAGCCAACTTCAGTTGATTTTGAAAAGTGAACTGTTCTACATACATATATACATTTCATTGATCCTAAAGTTATTCAGATTGGCTATAATACGAGGAATAAATCATGAAGTACATAAAATACAGATAAGTACAATTTAAAATATTAATTTTTCACAAATGATAAAAGGTTTAGCATGAAAATATTAGAATTTTACGGTAAATAAACAGCTGTACAAATATGGTAAATTCCCAAAAGGATTAAACTGTATAATTTAATAGAATAAACGGTGGGTATTTAGGAATATCTTTAAATGTCTCAGTTTTGAGACGGTGGTAGACCATCAAAGGTTTTGATGCCAGCATAAAAAAAGTAACTGGTCTATGAAAATAGTTCTTAGTCCTTGTATTAGTGCTGTATATAGTTAAATTCTTCTGAAAACAATCCATGTTATTTGTAGTGAAGTTCATTAATGAAACTATACATTCACAAGGCCACGGTGGTCTAGCGGTGAGAACGCTGGCATTGTAATCCTGGGGCCTCGGGTTCGATTCCTGGCGGTGCCCGAATTTATAACTTGTGTTGGGCAAGGCCGTGGTCTAGGCAACACGGAGTTTTCCTCCGTGGCATCCCAACAATTACTCCATTCACACTCACACAGAAGAAGGCAATGGCAAACCACTTCTGGATCATCTGCCAAGAACGTATATGAACAGGTCCCAGTCCGAGAAAAGGATGGAAGGATCCTGTTCATATGGACCTGTCGTCACACAGAACACTAAATAATAAACATTCACAAGGAAATGACAAAATGTCTAGTTTCTTAAAAAGGCTTCTACATGAACTTATTCATTTGACACCAGCCATAATTCAAATAATTTTCTTTTGTTAAGTAAATATCCTTTTACTGTTAGATGAATTAGCACCAAAAATTATCCCTTTCTTCATTACAGAGTTAAAATAAGAAAAGTAGATTGACTACAGTGTCAGTGTTGACAATATGAAACACTGATCTAACTGCATAATACGCCCGACGTAACTTTGGAATAATTTTATTGGTATGATTATACCAACTTAGCTGGTTATCAATTTGTAGACCAAGGAATTTCTTTATTTTGCTGACTCTGCTATATAATTTCCACTGTATCCAGTACTTAACGCACTTCTGGTGAGTTATTTGTTACAAATTTTATTATTTTTGTTTTACCTAAACTTAGGTTTAATTTATTGACAGTAAACCATTTATTCATATGACAGAACTGAATTTGCCAATGTGCAGAAATCAACATTATCATTAGAAATTATGGCACTACTGTTGTCAGCAAATATAAGTTATGATAAAGCTCTTATTATAATTTATGCAAGTTATAAAAATAAAGACCCTAAAATTGACTTGTGGGGAACGTTATGAATGAATAACACAACAGAACCTACAATTTTTAAAGAAAATGTCTAAACATTCTTCTGTTCAATGAGTAATTATTTCTTATGTTTATCTGTGTGTTGTTAACAATTGTGTCACTTCATCAGTTCCACTGGACTCAAATCTCCAAGCATCTCCTATAAGTTTTGTTCACAAGAACAGTATTCACAGTATCCTATGAGACATTTTGGTAATGAAAAAGAATTACATATAATATGTGATAGATGGTTTTTGCAGGAAGCTATATGAATACTAAATCTAGCTGTTAAGTTCTTTGATTTTGCTTCTTATTAAAATAATATACATTTTGATGGATG